TGCTCCAAAAGCACAGTTACACTTTGGACACTTTCTCTGCCGCGTTTCGTAACGAGTTTTTAGACACGACATACAAAAAACGTGAAAACATTTAGCAAGCATGGCATCTTTGCGTTGCACCTTGCAGCTCGGACAAGTCAGCTGCTCTTTAAGGGATCGCACTTCTTCAAGAAGAACCTCGTCAGTTGCGCTTCCCTTTTCCATTTTCCTCAGTCGTTCCAACCTTTTCCGCAAAACCGACATTTCATCTTCCAATCGACGCGTCTTGAAAGTTTCGTCTTCTAGTGCCGCCGTCTTAATTAGAAGGTTCTCTTTAGCGTCAGCAACTTCAGAAGTCAGTTTCTCGACTTGAAATTTCAGATCGACTACCATCTGCGCCAACTCCATTGCTTTTTTCCTGTTTTCTTCCATGGCCTTGTACCTGAGAGCCAATTCCTTCTCTGAGCTCGAATTCAGATCCTCCAATAAGCGTTCTTTCATTTCGAGGTTACGGACAACCACAGCTTGTGCTTCGTACTGATTGTCTAAAGCAGCCTTTTCCTGCTCCATTAAATTTATTTGTTCCCGAAGTAACTTCTGTTGTTGATTCGACCGTATACGCTACAAAACAACAAAAGATTAAGGAGAAATCATAATATAAATTTACCATATTTCAGCTACTTAAATCACACAAGCATTGGCAACAATTGACGACTGTAAAGTAGAACAAGACAATTCATAGGACATACCTCAGACATCAGTTTAAAATTGGCATCGTCTTTCTCGCTGAGTTGCTGCATCAGACGACCGTTCTGTTCTTGTATTTCTTCAAAAGCTTGTCCAGTTACTTCCAGTTCTTTCAGCAGCGTCTCTTCTTCCTTTAATACTGAGTTGAACAATAATCCGAAGCTCCATACGACGCAAAAGAACAGAAATGAAGATAAAACGTAAGGAATGTCCCATCAGCATCATTACAGTATGCAAGCAACAAAGAAAAAAGATGAACGGAAAAAAGATTTGATAGCCTGGAAGAAAACGAGAAAAATAAGATACAGTAAAACTTGATGTTACATCAGATACACAGAGAAACAGTAGGTGTGTAATAAGTAGATTACTGCCAATCAGGGCAACCTTCTTTCATTAAGCTCATGATATTACATCTGGATAACCTTGTCCACACTGCAATATTTCAAAAGCAGTATTTCTCGCTAAGTCACAAATACAAAATGTAGTCATTTTCTTTAACTCTTGAAACTGTATTCATATATCAATCTTAGAAAGATGAAACAGAAGTAATGCTAAAAGTGAGAGTAAGGTAGGGATTATGACGATGCTCTAATTTTTCTACTGAAAACGTTAAGCCAATCACATTAATTAACAGCAAAACTGCTAATATTAGATAATCAACTAATTGAAAAATGCTAACAGTCTTTATTCTCACAAGTAGCGTAATGATGATCTGAAAATCACTTTACTTACCACTAGTTTCAACGCAGACACAGAGCAGGGGAAACGGTCTGACAGCCTACTTCTGTTGAAATAACGAGAATGTCTTTTACGAAATCAAATTATGTAAACTACCTAATCTGTTGCAGAAGTTTATTCTGAGCGCGAAATGAAATTAAAGATAAACTATGCCCTGTCTGTGCAGCCGAATTCCGGGGATCCTTTAAGATAACAAGGCAAAGCGAAGACAAACCTGTTTGCTGATCGTAACATCTTTCTTCAAACGTTCTAGTTGTTCCTCGAGCCTTTTGGCGTGTTTATTGGCTTCGTCCAGAGAGCCTTCCTTGGCCCGTTTCCGAAATGCGTTTCTAATATGGGATCTCAATCGATGATTTTCAAGCTTAACTTCTTTAAGAACCTGAAAAAATAAGACGGTTAAATCAAACAAATAATTATTATTAACTCCATACCTCAACAATCTCTTTTTCGCAGTTGCTTACGTGCCGAAAACCATCCATGGTTATTTGGGATGCGCGATATTTCTTCTGTAACTTTCTAATCCTTTTTTTAAGCTCAGAAATACGGTACTCGTAATCCTTATTGCGTGTCGCCTCGTCTTCAACGTCCGACTCATCCAATTCACCCGGTTCCTTGCCCTCCTCTGGCGACATATCCTTTTCGTTGTCCTCGACGGCACTTGATGTAAGGGGGACCAAGATGGCGTTGACTTTCGCTTTTCTTTCCTGTTCCAGCTCTTTTTGCACCTTAGCAATGGAAGAAACAGCTTCCTTCCATTTGCGTTTGAACCTCGACACCTCTGCCTTCAATTGTTCATTCTGAATCTTATAACTCGCCAGCAGCTGTCGCATTT